AAGAGTGTTCTAGTAAAGTCACACAAAATGAAATTGAACCAAGTTATTGAATGGTTATAAGACATCATGGGGCTTCATTCTTTATACCCACAAAGAATATATGGGAACATTGTAATCATACGATTCTTTTAAGCATTTGAGTTTTTATTCTGAGCTTCTCAAGCACAATATCAATCTATGCTGCCAAGATTTTTGCTTTTAGTTCCCCACCTCTCAGTAACACCTGCTCCTCAGTGTAGGCAGACAACAAGCGAAAAGGGTGAACTGTGATCTGTTCCTCCTCCTGTTCTATTTTATAGGATGAAGAAAAGGTTTTGTGTGGGAAAAGCTTAAGTTAAAGGTTTTAACAAGGCTCAGACATTCCTTTCCCTATGCCTGCCTGCATGTCCTGTCTCAACCTGAGAAATTTAAATTTGGGGATATGCAAGAAATATGGAAAGAGGAACCCAGCTTTATGCAATAGATGTAATCCTGAAATTCTGTTTGCACATCACATGTTTGTCAACACAGAAGTTGTTAATTGCTTCAAGAATTAGGTGTTTAAATTTCACCTGTTTTTTTTTCTTTACTAGGATACTGAAATATCTGCTGATTTTACTCCCCTTTGTGATTTTAGTATTTATATTTTTCTGTGTCAGCTTTGTTTATTGCTGGTACATGCATAGACATGTTTAGGACTATTCTTAATAGCCAAACATTCCACAGTAGATAGTGTTAGGGTCCATGTTTTTGCTGAGACCCACCAACTCTTTTCACTGTTTTATAGTTGATTAGTCTGCCATCACCTGATGGTCCAGAGCCATTTCTTCCCCCACCCACCCCCGCCCCGGGCCATTTTTTTTTCTTTTTCTTTTTTTTTTTTTAAGATTTATTTATTTGAGAGAGAGCAAGAGAGTGAGGGTGAGGCAAGAGAGCACAAGGGGAGGAGGGGCAGAGGGAGAGGGATAAACAGACTCCCAGCCGAGCTCAGTTTCCGGGGGGAGGGGGCGGAGAGCCTGATGGGACCATTTCTTATTCATAGACACTTCAAAATGATGATCATTTCTCTAAATCGGTCACTTCCATAAAAGCAGTATTTTTGCTATTTGTAAGGCTTCTTACTTTCAAATCTTCATCAGACTCATTGTATTTATCCTATTAGGGACCATTCTAGCTTATCATAAGTACATGTTTTGAGTGTTTGCCAGGCATTTCTGTCTGAATTTCCAGCCCGATAAAACTGGGATTTTATGAGCATTGTGTAATGTAAGTCAGGGCAGCTGACTCTTCCGTCATTAAGTCACCTGGAATCCAGAGGATGTGTTGGTTTGAAAGGTGCGTTCTCTGTTATCGAGTCTAGCTTAACCTTCAAGACTCAGCCCAAACGCTAAACCTTTCGTTGATTCTTCTCCTCCACTGAGTAAGTCACGCTCCCCTCTGGGCTCACATAACACTAGTACCATTACAGAACTCATTCTAGCCGGTTAAATCATGTCAAGGAGTTTAGGTATCGGTTTCTCAGGACAGCTTGAGACCTTGTTGAGGGCAGAGAATTTCAGCATCTGGTATGTGCTAATTCCTATAGAACATGGATATACTTATTCCCTTATCACAGATGAGACGATTACGGCTCCATTTGACACAGTTAGTAGATGGAAGAATCAGGGTGTGAAGCTGAGTCTGCTGTTGCCCATTGCCTGCCCAGTGGTTGGCATAAACTCTGTGCGGACTGAGGACAGAGATCAGAGTTAACCTGAGGCAAGTAAAAACCAAATCCAGTTAGCCCCTCCAACTAACAGTGCTCACTTTTTCAGCTGTCCCTCATTCATTAAAGCTGCAAGCTTCCTCTTTAAGAAGAGGCTTTCTCAGATATTTGTGACTTTCTTCATTCTTTTATATTCATTTGTTCATTCATTGTTCATTCGTCCTTTTAATAATTAGGAGGTCACTATATAACTGGCCTTATTCTATTGCGCAGCATAAAATGACAGAAATCCCTGGTGTCGTGGACTTCCTATTTTCTTCAAGAAGACAGACAATAAAAAAAATAAAATACATGAGTGACTTATGTGTTACAAGGTGATAAGTGCTAAGGTAAAATGAAAAGTAGATCAGGATAAGGAAGTGGGGTGTATGGTTAGGAGACAGTACTAAATAGGAAGTCAGATTCAGGCTCTTAGAGAAATTAAGATTTGAACAAAAACCTGAAGGACGTATATTCCAGGTAGAGGAAACAGGTAGATCAAATGCCCTAAGGTGGGAGTATGTCCACTGTGTTCTTGAAGTATCAAGACTGCAACTGTGTCTCGAATGGAATGAAGACAGGGAATATTACCTAATAAGGGGATAGAGTGGTCCTATAATGTAGGCAGCCTGCCCCTGCTTTAACAAAGTATATGCAAGGAATCCCTGGTGCCTCCAAACTGATAATTTTGGATTGTCCCGCGGTCCTGGCCCACATTTGTCTTCATTGAGTAGTCTCCAAAAATCAGTGGCACTATCTGGACTTAGAACATTGCATCAGCCGGGTTCAGCCACACTCACTCATATTTCTGTAGTGTTGGCCAATCCCTTCTTTTACATTATACTGACCGCAGTTGACAGCAACTGCTTATATGATTCATCATAGGTACTCAAGAGATGTTTGTTGAATAGATGGATACATGAGTGAATTGGTAAATGAATGAATGAGGACAGATTTAGTCTTACAACACAGATGGATACTCCCACCTGTAAATAAATTTGTGTTCTGGCTGTAGACATAAGCTACATATTTACTTATGTCAAATTAAACATCTGCAATATGGCTGAGTGTTGATTAAATGCTGATTATTTTTCAGTGTATCCATGTTCCTTCAAAGTAAGCGAAATCAGGGACAATTTTCAATTCTGTAACCTCAGAGTGTTCTTTCTAAAAACAGCTTGTTTCACCTTGAGCAGAGTCACTAGTTAAAAAGAAGTATTTAAACCTAATCTCAGGGGAAAAAATTATTTCCTTTTTAGCTGATATATTTATGTCTACAGTATAGTGATTCCATTGTCTTGGTACAATCTTCAACTTCAAATGTCAACTACATAGTTATTCCCTTTGTAGGACTTAACCTTATTTACAGCAGTAATTTGTTTCTTATCTCTTCTGTAACTCAGTGAGTCTATGGCATTTACTATTATTACAGTGGATGTAAATCAGAGTCCCTGGATTTGTTTTAACCTTTTCTTTCCACAGTTTGGAATGACTTCTATACCATTATAAATGCAGATTGATCCTAGCATGTGGGTATGAAACTTTTGTAAATGTATTTTTTTAATTCCCCTATAATCATATATACATGTAAAATAACAGTTTTGAAAAACATGAGCTGACACGCATTATAAATTTCAAAGGAAAAGCCAATTGGGAAGCATTTTATTTACTCTTAGTCACCTTTTGCTCGATAAACAAATTCTTTAAATCTGAGGCAAACAAATACATTTATAAATCTATGGCATGTCAAAGCATCAATAAAGAATAATTATCCACTTTAGTAGGATATTAAATAACAATTATTTTAACTGTCCTATCAATTTAAATCCATTTTCCATTTATTTTAACAACTATTATAGTTAATTTAAAAAATTATTTCAAATGTAATTTCAGAGGTGTAACTTTATAATTTACTATGCCATTATTTTTCCAGTATCTAATCACTTATGCCATTAAGAGCCCTATTCAATATTTAATCAATAAAAGCATAGTGAAGTGGAGTTTTTTAAGTGTTTTCATTGTCATATAAAGTGCCAAAAATTTTAATGATTTTATCATAAAACAGGTATGTGGTTTTAAAAAAAAAATACTACATAACTTAGTGTACGGTTTGTTTAAAAAACATTTCTTAAGCCAAGTAAGTCATAGAAATTTCCTCTGCCTTTAGTACAAATTCTTTGATTTATATTTATTTTTCTGAGTAATTTGCATGGTAATTATAATTTTGAAATGCAATGAATATATAGCCTATAAGTATTATACTGAATGTGTATTCAATCATATTCTGGAAAGATTTTTTTTTATTTTTTACACTTTAAAGTGTAAAATTTTTTTATTTTTTAAAAATAAAAATTTTTTAAAAAAATTTTTTTATTTTTTACACTCATTCTTTGAAAGTGGCCCCATATGGTTTTTAATTATTCTTACCATTCCATAGTTTAATATAAATAAAAGTTTTGTAAGCTATAGTACAGTATAAATTTATCTCTCAAGATAGAAAATTGCCATGTTTAAAATGATTTGATATTCCATGACTTGTTATAAAAATAATAAAGGTAAAATATAGAATCTATTTCTGTGTCTTTAGACTGTGTACAGGGATGATTCATTTCTTGTGTATTACCAGCCTTACTAGCAGTTAATAAGTGCCAAGGAGTATGAAAATATGACAAGGTGGCCAGAAAAGAAAAGAAGAAGGATAAGCATCTAGCTTCTTTTTGCCTTATCTTCTCTCAAATTATTATATAAATATCTCATGTATCTTCCTCGTGGCTCCTGTCTGAGAATTTCTGGAATTTTCTAACAGCTGTACTTTTAATCCTGAAATGTCAAAAGTGTCTAGGTCTCTACCCAAATGATTGGCAATACTTCTCTGTGCTAGAAGAACAACAAAGATGAGCTCATCAACTCCACTTGAGCAGGACTATACTTGTGCTTTGTCTGCCTCACCGAGGATTCTTCCACATCCTTTTGCCTGATCCTTATTCTGGCCAGTCACCCATTATCTGCTAATTAGCTAGGGAGCAACAGTTAGGTGTACAGTCTTGAAATAGAACAAAACTAATGACCACACGGGCTTGACTTCAAGAGCTTTGCCTCATTAGCATTAATCAACAAATCTTCAAATGTTTAAAGAACAAAAGCGATTGAAGTAGAATCCTTACTGTTATTTATTACCATTGTAATAAATCAAGGATTAATTTTTTTAGACTGTTTAAATATGGCTAATGACATTTTCTTTAAAAAAAAAAAAAGCTTTTCTTTTTCTTTCCCATAGGTTTGGGCTTCAGTATTGCAGGAGGTGTGGGGAACCAGCACATTCCTGGAGACAACAGCATTTATGTAACTAAAATTATAGATGGAGGAGCTGCACAAAAAGATGGAAGGTTGCAAGTAGGAGACAGACTGCTAATGGTAAGCGTGATTCATGCAAAACTACATTTGTATTTATAAAGCTCTTGTTTCCCAGTGTATGACTGTCATAGTTCAGGCTGTCATAACAAAATACCATAGATTAGGTGGTTTACACAACAAAAAATTTATTTTCTCAGAGTTCTGGAGGCTGAAGTCCAAGGTCAAGGTTCTGGCCCATTCAGTTCCTGGTGAGATCTCTCTTCCTGGCTCGCAACCATCTTCTTGTTGTGTCCTCACATGGCCTTTCCCCTGTGCTTGGGCTGAGACAGAGATCTTTCTCTTCCTATGAGGCCACCAGTCCTATTAGATTAGGGCTTCACCCTTAACTCATTTAATTAATAACTTTAATTACCTCCTAAAAACTCTGCAAGGCGTGCGTGGGTGGCTCAGTTGTTAAGCGTCTGCCTTCGGCTCAGGTTATTGTCCCAGGGTCCTGGAATTGAGCCCCGCATCAGGCTCCCTGCTTGGTGGGAAGCCTGCTTCTCCCTCTCCCACTCCCCCGCTTGTGTTCCCTGTCTCACCGTGTCTCTCTCTGTCAAATAAATAAATAAAATCTTAAAAAGAAAAAAGACTCTGCAAGTATAGGCATATTGGGGGTTAGAACGTTAGCCATGAATTTGAGGGAATGGCCACATTCAGTTCATAACAGTGATCACTGGCAGAAATGGAAAAGAAGGGAGAGCAGATTTTGTGGTGGGAGATTTCAAAAGTACACGTACAATTGTATCTGCTTTGTTGACATTTTAAAGAAAATCTGAATTTTCACTAGTTTTCACAGATACAAGACACAGATTGTTATTTTTCTAATATAACCTATTAGCCCAGCCTGAGAGAGTGTTACATCCCTACTGCTAGGGAGGTGGGCTTTGTATATAAGAAAGGGAACTTCACTATCTGGTTTATTGATATGTACATTTCTATGTCTCCCTGTGGTCCCTTGTTCAACCAGTGTAGACAGTGTAAACAGTCCCTGATTTCCCAGGAATTCATAACCTGAGTTCTGTCACATGTGTAAGTGGATCCCTTCTCCCACCCCCAACCGACAGGGTTACAGCTCTTTTATTTACCAGCTGCCTACCTGCTTCAGGAACCCTGAGCAATGACTAACACCAGAACATAGCTGCCCTTCCCAAGCCATAGAGTTCTAGGATAAACTAAAGCAAAATTAAGGCAGCACATAAGCAGTACAAATTTGGGATTGTACTTAATAAAACTACTTTATCTCTATTTACTGTTTTATACCAAACTTTCAGGATAATAGTCAAATACTGAAAATTAATAGAAGAGAGCTCTCAAGAGAAGTATATTCATATCTAATCACATGTCTGCCCTTGTAAAACATGGCCTCTAATGTCTGCAAGGAGCCAACATGAGTGAGAAGTGTTTGGAAAAGATCAATTTATATTCTCAACAGGATAGTAATTTCTGTGACATGTGCAAGCTTCAGAGGTTGAACCTCAGAGTACATTGTGCCCACTTCTCTGGGCTTTAGACAGCTTGTCCTTAGTCCCATTGGTCTACTTTCATAGTTGTCAATGACCTTGGTATTGATTTAACTGAATAAACCTTTATAATAATCTTGATAACTAATATTTATTTGACATTTGCTATGTTCCATGTACTTTTAAAAGTGCTTTTTTGTAATGAATTTATTTCTCTCAACAACCTGTTTTATATAAGCAAAAAGGAACTGAAGTATAGAGAGTTTTATTAACTTGACCATAGTGCTATAGTTAACAATGGACAGAACTGGATTTCAAATCCAGGCACTCAGGCTTATAAGCACCAAGCATGATCTTTCATTTGTTTCCTAGAATTTGTCAGTCAATTCTTTATTCATTTTATTTAGTTATCATTCATTCATTCATTCATTCCTTTACTTAACAAATAATATGATGAACACGTACCATGTCTCAGGCAATAACCACTACTCAGAAAGGAACTCTGTCAGGAGAAAATGTATGAGCAAACTGGATGGCAAAAAATATGGCATTAATGACTTCAGTCAAAGTAGCAATGAAGAGTTTGGGCTTCTTTACCACCTTATTTTCTTTCTTTCTTTCTTTCTTTCTTTCTTTCTTTCTTTCTTTCTTTCTTTCTTTCTTTCTTTCTTTCTTTCTTTCTTTCTTTCTTTCTTTCTTTCTTTC